GCTCGCCCTCGCCTTCGGGGTGGAGGCCCCTCCGCCCGGGAGGCTCGGGCGCGGCAGCCTTTGCCTCCGCCTAAGTTCCTCCAAGTTGCTGCAGCCCCTTCCCCAGAGGGCTTTCTTCCGGGGTGCGCGGGGGTGGGGGCGAAGGAAGCCCCCGTGTTTCTCACACACCACCCCCGCAGCACTTGCGGCTGCCGTGTTGGTGACAGGGAGGCGATGGAAGGGGAAAGGACCCTACCAGTGATGGGCGGGTTCGGGCACGGGCAGGAGGTGAGCCTTTGGGGTGCATCTGGGCTCCATCCGTTCTGTGGCCTTGTTTCACTCGCCCCCACCCCCTGATGAGCAGCAGCAGGGCAGTGAGGAGCCAAGGGAGTCCGTTGCTGGGGTGTGGAAGGGACTCCTGCTTCCAGAGTCCAGCACAGTCCCATTTTACCATTTCTCTCCAGTTGGGATGAAAGGACCTAGTGGGGTAAGCTGGCCAGAGAACAAATATCTAAAAAGGAATGTGGGAATTTCTAAATGAAGAGGCCTCAGCAACAGTGCTTTGCTGGAAGGTCGGCGCTGTGTCTCAATCACAAGAGCACTTCAGATTTATTTAAAGGAGGCTCCCTCCATGGGCTCCGGTCCTTGTCTCCTGGAGCCAAGCTGGAAAAGCCCTTGGATTTATGGACTAGGGGTGTCTGTGTATAACAGATAGCATGAATGTACAGATCGACGCTCACACACAAGTGTATACACACATACATGTGAAATGATTGAAATAATAATCTCTTCATCTACATATGTGAATACAGTGCAGTTATTCGTAGGACACTGGGTGGTTTTCTTTAAAAAACCTGCTACACTGTGGTTCCTTTATATTCCCAGTGTATTGGAGGAGATTACCTTCCTCTGACACAATGTCCCTCTCTATCCTCCCAAGTAATGAATTGAAAATTAAAAAATGAAGAGAGAAAGTGAGATGTTATTTACAGTAGTTGAAGTTATAAATTCCTCTTAGCAATGTTAGGAACATCTGTTGTGTCTTTTAATCTTTCATGTTCACCTTTTCTTTGATTTTGAAGGAAAAGATTTAATAATTTACACAATAATGAACGTTTTTAACACAAAAAATAGAATTTTATGAAAAGGCCAAGCAACTTTTTGTTAATTTCAAAGTAACTTTGTTTATCTCAGGTACCGTGACTGTTGAGTTCAGATTCAGCGCCAACATAATGGTTTGAAATATGTTAGGCCTTGACCCAGGAAATGTTTTGCTGTATTTCTTGACATTGCAATGTTCTGAAATGTACCAGAAACCCGAAATCCAGCTTCATGTGTTTTCTCCATTTGAAAGTAAGACAGAAGAAAAACTGATTTGATCTTTGGGGCCTTTTTGACTTTCTGAGTTTCCAGGTACATGTTTTCCAGGAAATTAAGATTGATTAAGGGTGTTTTATTTTAAAAAGAAAAAAGCAAGTTACTTTCAGGTCATTGATTTAGTTGCAACCATAATTAATAGTGTCTGTAACTTGTCTTTTGGTAATTGCCCTTCTATGTCTTGGTAATACGAGGTAGCTCTGTTCAGATCCAAACCATCCATCCCTTGTGGCATGTGCTACGTTGGTCTGAGGATTTGAAGATTCTCTGCTTAGGAGGTACCTAGGCAGGAGGAAGGGAGTTAGTCATTACTGAGTGCCTGCTCTGTACTGGGTCTTGTATGGCTGTGGGTGCATATATTTTGCAGAGTAGCTCTTCTAGGAGATTCTATCTCCAATTAATATTTGAGGAAACCAAGGTTCAGGTAGTATATTGGAAATATCTGAAAACAAAATGAGGTGGGTATGGTGTTTGTGTACCCATCGTTCTGATGCCAAATGTCACACTGCTTCTGGTTGTTTTGAATGAGCGTGTTCTCGGAAAGACGAGTGCAAGCTGGTGGGGCAGGCTCTGGAGGTAAAAGTGGATAGATTATTTATAGGGTGGATCCAATTTGGTTTTCATTGTTTGAACCTTTTTATAAAAGCATAAAATTGAGTCTATCTGAAAAGGAGGAAGTATTGGGAATTGGAAGGTTACTGATCCTGGACTTTGTTTCCCTTTCTGCTCTTGGGTGCAGCACTTTCTGTCACCATGAGAAGAGTAGAAATTTTATGGCAGTTTTGCCTCTCCATATTTCTCAAGAACACTGGCTTTACTCCCTTGACATAGAAATATTATTGAAAACAGTGCTAATAATACCCAACATCAACGGAATTGTTACTTTGTGTTAGATACTCTTAATAGGTTTTCGAAATATTTTATACCCATCTAATATCTGAATTATCTCTGAAAGCTGTCATTATTAGGAACCATGCAATATTGGGAAAATGTTGACATACAAAAATTAAGTAACATGCCCAAGGTTCAGGACTAAAATAATACTCTCAAAATTTTAATCCAGAACTATTGAACTTCCGAGACTTTGCTTTTTTTCCTATTGCAGTATGAATATTAACTAGTTCTTCTAAATATATGTATCAGAATTATTTTCAATTACATTTCTTATATTATGGTGATAACTCTATTTATATCTATATATAGAAAAAATAAATATCAAAATAAGAGTTGGGAACTCTCCTTGCTGTGTAACCTTGAACAATTTATTTAACCTTGTTAAGCTTCAATCACCCCAGTGACAGGATTTTGAATGTTACATTAGTTATAATATGTAAATGGCCTTCCAGGTCCTCAGTTGTACTCCATACGAGTTCACTGTATCATCAACACTATTTATTTTATTTTACCTCTTGTAATGCTGGAGATTGAACGTAGGGCCTTGTGCACACTAGGGAAGTGCTCACTATTGAGCAGCATCCCTAGCAGAACATTATTATTCATAGAATAACTGTTCACTGTTTATTGAATCTCTGGGTTCCAAACACTATATTTGGCAGAACAGAGGTTATATGGGCAAGTTCAGTAGTAAATCATGGGCACTGGTCAAGAGAAATTTGTAGCCTAATTTGAGAAATTAGCTAAACATGCCAAAGATCATAATATAACTAATCATAATAAAAGTTATATGCATAATTATATGCATATATATTACATTATTCTTGAATCACGAAGATATCTGATGGCCCAGAGGGGAAAAAGCTCACTTTTGTGGGAGGGAAAGGCTTCATGGAGGAGATGGTGGCATTCGAGGTTTGTGTTAAAGAAGAGGTTGAAGTGACTCTTGAGTTAGGACATCGCCGGAATAGTGTCATGAACAAGCCTATGCAGGCAGAAAATGCAGACTCTACTCTCAAGATAGGTATTGGTTCATCTTGAAGAGGTTGTTTCCAGGGTAAAGAAGGGCCCAAGACTGAAGACATAGGTTGGGGTTGTGTTTGTGAGAAATGAAATGCTGGGCTGAGAGTTTGTTAGGAAATGAGCAAGGACATAGTTTGATGGGTGGTGTTACAGAGCATTTCGAAGACAAGAGTGTAGAAAACTCTTCCATTATCAATGTGTCTACATATTTTCATTTTAGTTCTTGTCCCCAACATTTGATATGGTTTGTAAACCCTGAAGACGGATGTTTCTTAGTTTGATCTGTGTAACATTTATTAAAGTGATGCATAAATCATACACAGATAGAAATTTAATTAATGATATTTGGCTTTCATTGATTGAAAGAATTAATGATAGTAATGGTTTATCCTCTCTAAATTTGGATTCGGTGACTACTCAGAGTTACTGTTCATTAGATCTTTAGGCAACACAGATGACCTGAAGGAAACAAAGTGAGACCATCTATCTTCATAGAGCTAGGACCAAGATAAAGAAAACTAGCACCACCAAGGTGGACCCTGACACCAGACAGGGTGGGTTTGAAGGTTAAAGGACATATCAGAATCTCTGTGTCTGCATCCCCAGGAAGATGAGACTGGTGTGAGGGATGACAGAAAGGCGTCTCATATGCCAAGCTTTCCCATAGACACAGACTTCCTCTCCCCCAAACCTCGTCTCGGTGTCCCCTGCTGTCCTTATTTTTGGAGCTCACTCCTGTGGTGTGCTATGGGAGACAAAGTACCAACACAGGTGACAGACAATTCTACATTCTTAACCTGCTTTCTTTAGCTTACTAGTCATGTGCCTTTGGCAAATCATTCATAAGCTACAGATAAATACATCTGCTTCCTACAGTGTCTGTACATGTCAAAGTTAAGAGCACGCATTCTGAAGTCTGACACTGCTTGGGTTGAAACCCAGGTCTGCTACTTTCCAGCTGTGAGAACTTAAACCAGTTAGTCTTTCCATACCATGGTACGCCTTATTTCTTCAACTATAATATAGAGATAATATGAATATTGGTCTCATAATGTTATTTTGAGTATGAAATGAGTTAACACATGAATGTGTCAGAGCTGTGCCCAGCCACATGTGTCACCTACCATTATTCCTTCTAAGATTGTGGTGCTCAGCCAAGACTATGTAAAGCTCTTAGTAAAAATGCCTTTGTTAGTGTTTCTAAGTCTGAAATATCTATTAGAGATAGGCAGATACCACCTAGTTCAATCCTAGCTTCATAAATTGGGGAGTTTGAATAGTTTGAAAAGTAAAACAAGAACTGTATTCTTAGAATCAAATTCATTCTCATCTTTGGTGACCCCCCCCATCATGTAAGGTAACACCACCTAATATTTATCATTCATTTCTTATGCTTCAGACCCTATGCATTTATTCATGTAATTCTCCCCATGATCGTATTTTCTTTAAATATACTATCATTTAATCCATTTTACCAATGAGATATAGGAAATTTGGTAAGATTACGATGTCAGATGAAGTTGTTGAAGGTCACTAATGGAATTCATTTTCACAGTAAAATTGTGAAGGAGCCTTGAAGGGAAAGAGGCTAGATGACCAATTCACAGTCCCACAGACACAGCGCCAATCACCCAAACCTGTGCACTTACTCCTTTTGTTAAACGTCTTTATTCTGACATGCTACCTATTCTTTTTTTTTATTGAGTTTATTGGTACATTTTAGGTGTACAGTACAGTTACATTCATTATTGGCGTCTTGTACCTTTACATGACAGATCTTGGTTCTCATTTTTTCCTCTTGCCCCTGCCCTCCCTTCACCCCCTCCTCCCTTTCCTATTTACAAAAACTTTATTTCCACTTTTTCATTTTCTCCTATTTTTTTCCTTTATTACCCTTCTCCTATCCTTCCCACTTTCCCTACACCTTTAGCGCTTTTCTTCCCATTTCACATTGTCAATTATCTCATGCTACCTATTCTTTAAAGATTTTTTAGTCATAGCTATTCAATGCCAAGAGAGTCACAGTTTTCTCAGCTTTTTTGTCCTTGATTTCAGTTTTCCCGGCTTGATGGGAAGCTTTGTGTTTCATTGTAGATAATGGTCTTGAGGAGTGGCGCACGAAATTGTTTCACATCCGATTGAGCTGGAGACATTGTGGAAGTGTGGGTGGCAGCAGAAGGAATTCAGAGTCCTGTTGTTCTGATAGGAAGTTTCACCTCTCGTCTAGTGCTACATGCTGCTACAGTGCTGCAGGCACCCACACTGGTGGAGATCCACCCTCTGGCTCCAGGTCTGATGGCTACAGAGAATGGAAATCTGAAGCCACCTCTGTTTCTAAGGCATATTTTTTAAAAGTGGGACCTAGCCCAAGATTTTGAGGTGCAGTGAATGCACAGGAATTGTGTATAAAATTGTGTATTTATATGTGCATGCCATTTTTTAGTAAAAGCCTCTATGATTTTCAACAATGTGCATCAAACAGATAATGTGCATTATCCCCTAAAATAACTTCTCTTTGAGGTTTATGGGTCTGCTTGGACACTTCCTGGTATTTCTCAGTATTCTGCTTTACTTGGGGAGTCTCATTAATACTCATTCATTCACATCACCCTTTTTCCTTCGTTCTTCCATTTTCTTTCTTTACCCCTTTCATTATTCTTTATCTTTCTCTTTGCGTGCATCCTCTCTGCTCTGCATTCTGATAAGGAGGCGCTGCTGCTGAGGGGAAAGTAAAGATTCTTGAATCAGAACAGCAGCTAGTTTTTCCTTCTCCCTCTCCACCTCTCTCTCTCTCTCTCTCTCTCTCTCTCTCTCCCTCTCCCTTTCCTTACTCCTGTTCCACTTTTCCTAGCCTCTTTCCCCCAGCACTCATTACCATGTAGCCTCTCTGAGATAGTTACCTTATCTAAAAATGTTAACTTACTTCTCCTACCTTTCAGAGCTATTGTAAGAATTGGATGGAAGAGAAAACAATTTAGAGACAATAAGCCACTTCGTACATATATGGGAAACACACTGTGAGCGGTAACCTGGGATCTGAAAACACTTGGTCATTGGAGATAGTTAGCATCATTTGCAGCTCTACTTTGCCAGCCTTCTATACTCACTGTGGTTTGGAAAAATGAGTACGAATGATGTTTAGAATTCTTTGGTGATTTTCATGTAGAAAGAGTAGTAAAAATAAAAAGCCAACAGTATAACAGTAAAATGGCCTTTATTACAGACTATTATTTCAATGCTCAAATAATGTTTTTCAAATTATTTCAGTAAATTCTTATGTCAAGATTATTATTAAAAATTACCCTATTCTTTTTTTTTTTTTGTGGTACCAGGGATCGAACTCCGGTCCTTGTGCTTGCGAGGCAGGCCACTGAACCGGTGAGCTAAATCCCCAGCCCCCCTATTCATTTTTATAATTGGAAATAAATAAGGTTTAGAAGGAGCACTACAGATATCAGATAACTATTTGTTAAGTATTTATTGTAGTATATTGATTTTTAAATTTCACCGCGCCAAAAAGACATTATTTATAAAAGTTCTGAATGAAAATAAAGCATGTACTATATATTATGGGAGGTGCTGTTGCTTGGGCATGTAAAAGGAATAAAGCATGTTCCCTGCTCTTCAACACTTGAGAGTACATCTCTGAGCCTCAGTTGTTTTGTCCACAGAATTGAGATAGTAATACTCACTGTGGTGCTTACAATAACTACATACATGCATGTACCGAGTGTTCAATAGATGTCAGCTCTTTATCATAAATGCAAATAACTTTTATTGATGGTGTAGATTAAAGTGACATCAAGCGCATTTAATCATTTTTGCTAGCAGAAGGAGGTGAGCCAGTTACTACTCACATTAATCCACTCAGATGGTGCAGTATATACGATAACACATCGAGAGAGCTTTAGCAGTTCACTCTGGTGGCAAATGACACATCCTGCATCGGAAACTATTACCTTAAGTCCAGTGTTCTGCCCACTACATGAAGTTGCCCACAAATGTGATTTGCAGCCTAAGTGAGGCCACTCCTTCCAAGCAGGAGCTATATAAAGCACATTGATTATATAGTAGTGTGTTCTTCATAGTAACCACATACTTGATAATGTATAGTTCTTGTTACAAAAATATGAAAAGGGCAATTTAAAGTCTGTTTGAAAAACAAAACAAACAAACAAAAAAATTTCATGGATTCCTAAGACTGGCACATTAGCCAGTGCAATCTGACCTTCCAGAACCAACATTTTACCCATAATGGTTGAGAGGGCAAGCTCTGAAGTCAGAGGTGTGATCTTAATCTGTAGTTAAGACGGTTTTTTATAAACTTTGGAGAATTGTAAGGAATATTATTTTGATGGGTGATATTTTAAAGTATATGAAATAGAGTTCTATAATCAGTACTATTTAAACTATTTCTGGGAATGCCAGTTTTCACTCAGCAGGCTGGTTACTCTTTTAGTCTTATGACAGCTGTAGTTTGAGAATCACTGTCAGTAAAATTACCATTTGGGGGGATTAGAAACACAATTCTAAAGTTTTTTTTTCCAGGCCAGCTACATTTTAAACTTTATAAAGAGTGCTTTTGGTAGCATTTCCCACTGAGACATACGTGAATGGGGGGCTGTGTGGCTATTGCATTTGTAATTTCTTGAATAAATTCATTTTTATCTCTCCTCCTTTGAATTTCTGTAATACTCCCTTCATGACATCTCCCCTCACCAAAACAAACAAACAAACAAAAACTTTTTGTTCCAACTTTCTGAAACTTTCTGATATAGTATCAATTCCTTTGACTTTCCAAGTTCAAATGACTACAGTCCTTTTAATCCTTTGCTTTATATTTTAGTTTTAAATGCTTCCTCACTAGACTTGAGCATCTGAAAGTCAGGATGTTATAAAGTGATGCAAGGGAATTTAGCATTGCCAAACTTGGGGATTAGTTTTGGTGTCCGGGTGCCCATTGAAGTTCTAGGTGATGAGGTTAAAATGAATTTGAATTCA